CAGGCTGCGGTCCCGCTGCACGGGCTCCGGAGCTGGGTAGCCTTTGGACTCACTGCTAGCACTCATAAAAACGTTGCCCTTTATTTTGACGCCATTTGCAGCTGGACGCAGAGAAGAGAAATGAAGTGACTATGCCGTTTTCATCAGCATTTCAGCCATTTCTTTTTTTTTTTTTTTAATTAAAAACTATTTGTAACAAAATAAAAACGCTGTCAGCTTGCTGGTGCTGCGCTGATTTTCACAAATGAAGAATTTGGCTCGGTAACTTAAAAAACAAAGTTTTGTACATCTTGGGGTCAATCCCCCCCCCCATCCCCTCGGTCCCATCCACATGCCTGTGAAAGGTGGCTACGTGTGCACTGCCAGCTCCACTGGACAAAGAATGTGGGACTGAGCCCTATACATATGGATTTGTTTAAACAATCCACGTTAAGACTTAGAAAGAGATAACGTGCACATTTGGGATGCTTAGGGTCTAGAATTTGGTAAAGATATTACACATCCCGCACAGACACAGTCAGATACTATAAATTAAGGGTGAAATATTTGAGGTCTTGATCCCCTAGTCTTAGCTGACTTAGGTAGCAGACCTATCAAAATGAATCCGGCTCTTCACATCAGTAGATGCTACAGAACAAGCACTAAGATTTTATACACCAAAATGTAGTGTGATAAGGACAGAGTTACCTGCACAATCACTTCATAAATAGGCCTAATAGCAAACAAATTGAAGATCCCCGGAACATACACCCCCTCTGCAGGGGGACTAATACGAATATCTTGGTTATTAGAGTAAAGCTTCCCCACACTGGCCAGCTGCTGCACAGAGCAGCACTGCCGGGGACGAGGGAAGTGAGAGGGAAACGGCTCATCACTCCCCAAATCCAAAGCCGGGGGTTGGGGTCTGGGTCTCGCAGCATGCAGGGGAGAAAAGACACACACACACCCCCGAGCCCCCCGGCTGCCCTGCACGAAGGACCGAGGACCAACAGGGAAAAAGGACTGCATAGATATTGATTGTGGGATTTTTTTTTTTCTGCTTGCTCCCCATTATTTGAGTGTCCTCCTCCATAGCTCTCTAGCACGGTATAAAATCAGCATTCGCAGGGCAATGGCAGAACCACACAGCTGTGTTAGAATTAAATGGATTTTAATACCTAGGTCTGGCAATTTTTCTTTTCCAGCAGCAGCGCTGCGAGCCCACTGCCGCAGAAGCCAAGGACAGATACTTCGGTGCCCACAGTGGGAGCTGGCTAGTTTTGCTGGGAACCGTCTGGCTCCCAAGCTGGTAATGGTCTGAGGTTTAATTCTGATGTTTCATTTTCTGACATTAATTCTGCCATCTCCCACCTGAGCAGCCCGGGTGGGAAGGGAGCCCTGAGCAGGCGCAGGGATGGGTTTCCTGGGAAAGCGAAGCCCCTGCGAGCCGCTGGGCTCCCTCCCGCCTGGGCCTGGGTGTGCACGCTGAGGGGGCTCTGATTTGGTAAAAATCATTGTTTGTTTCCAAGGGAAGGCAAAATTTTTTCCACACCTAACAGGATAAAAGTGGTACCTGTCTCTCTTTCACTTTTGGGATTAAAAGCATAGCCTATTGTTATTAGTATTGCTAAAACTTTGGTGCAAATCACCCCAGCACAGGTCTTAGTGCACTGTGCAGAAAAGGGGAGTGGGGTTTGCTCTGGGGAAAAAAAAAAAAAAAAAAGTAGAGCCACAACCATGCTAATATCTTAAAAAAACCCGAATAATAAAATGAAGAATTACCAAAGAGAATTGGGACTAAACGTAGCAAATGACTCCACAACTCTTTCTTGCATCCACAACCTCCTTGCCACACTCAAACACATGCACAGTTTACACCCCAAAAAAATGATCTTACTGAAATCTGCAATCACAATAATAATTTTTTAAAATGCCACTGACTGCAGTAGCTCTGCAAAACCCAGTCTCGGCAAACAGGAACATTTCATACGGACCAGAAGCAATACACGTTCGCAGGGAATTTTCACTAACCTGCCTGCTTTGGTTATTATCATTTCGGTGCCAGCTTCATGAAATTTCTTCCATAGCTCCTTCTCATGGAGATAGACTTTGATATTTTCTATTGTCTGGAAAAATAAAGATAATGAGAACAGCAAGAAATGACCGAGAAAACCTAGGCGAGGGGCTGGGAAGGGCCGCGGGAAGGGCAGTGGGGCTCGGTGGCTGCGCACCCGGGACCGGCGCCGCAGCCCAGGCACCGGGTACGGCCACACCAGCCT